TTAAGCTGTATCAGCTCTGGAGGCCACCAGCCCTTGTTTGCTGGACACGGAGGCATAAGCAGGGGCTTGTCTAGGATTTAATTGCTGTGGGACTCACACACTTGGGATGAGCTTTCTCTGCCCAGAAGTATGTGAATTCCTACCTCTAGCCACTCCTTTGAGAACCCTCTTCCGTCCACTGAATTCAAGTCTGAGAATTGTGAGAAGAATATCTCTGTATGTCTCAACTGCTGGGATGGAGTATAAGCAGAAAAGGAACCAAAGTAACACAGGGCCCGCTACACCAGAATCAGCAGCTTAAAATGAATCCAGAAACAAGCTGGAAGGTTGTGGAGTCTGTGGAGCACAGGTGTAATATGAACCATATAAGAAACATCACCTAAGAACAATAAAAAGAGTAGATTTGTTTATATTCTAATATCCTGGAAATGCTGTTTGTTGCTGTGTAAACATCAAATTGTACATCAAACTTTTCTTTTTTTATGAAACACTTCTTCCCTCTCAGAGTTTGAGAGATTAAGGCTCTCTGTGAAAGACTTTCCAGCATCATTTTACTTTTTCACCAATGTAATTTGGAGTACCCGAAAAGCAATTTAGCTTGAAAGGTATGGACAAGTAATGTAGTTGCTAAAGCTGAAGTTACTAAAAGGGCTTATCTTGTTTTTCAAATCCCTTATACACTTGCCAGCAGGAGACTAGAGTCCTTCCATGGGTCATCTATAATCTTTTAAGATATATGAAGTTATTGATAAAGGGATCTTGGTGGGACTTTCAACTCCCTATTAATGTTTCAAATACAGCTCAGGTCAGTTTGGTGGTCTAAGTTTGATAAATAGAGGCTGTTCCTAGTTCCAGTTCCTATTGGTCTGGTAACCACATCACAAACTAACACCATAATTTACACAAACTAGAACCCTTGCCGGAAGTCTTAGCAGAAGGGCCAAGGAAGAATGGGCATGAAGAGCTAAACAACACCTGAACTCAGGTATGCTCTGTCACTGTCCCCGAACTCTGGAATACTTCTTGGGTGGGGAAGCTCACACTTACTCTTCCTGTGCTGTACCAACTTTGTTGGCACTAACACTTCAGTATCCAGGACAGTCAGAACCCCAAGCTTCACAATAATCTAAACAATTACAATACTAAAAGCTACATTGTTTAACAAAAAAATCAATTCCATTTTCCTGTAGCCATTTACAACATGACATTTCTTACACTGCTGTTTTTTATGTTAGTAAGAGTCATCCTGTGCCTTGTCATGGGGCCATAGCTTGATATCCTGCTCCTGCTGAGTAGCACCTTACTCCAGGAATGGTCCCATTGACTTCAGTAGGACCTTTAATTAATAAAGTGCTAGTTGGTATTTGTGAGAGTATCAGAATCTAACACATAATAAGAACAGCTCTGTGAATACTGCAAAACCAAAGTTCAGCAATATTTACTCAGTTTCTGAATGACTGTTCAGTTCCACAATAATCACACCCATTTTTACTTCCTATATACGCACATTGCATGTGTTTTTGTTTATATTAATGTTTGAGAAACATGTTCATATGAATATCCATATTCACATGTGAACAAGAGTATTTTTGTGCTAATACATGATGAATATTTGTTGTTCATTGTTCATTATTTGCTACTAAGCATTTATTTTCCTGCTTTAGCCAGTTACAGAGCAGAAATATTACCATGTAATGAGGTGAGCAATCTGACACCACAAATAAAAAAAGTGAATAGACAAAGTCCAGCATTTCACAAATGACCAATACTCTGAGATTTGTTCAGATGAACAATTTCTACAACAACTAAGAATAGTGAAAGAATTCAAAAGCTACTCATGAACAATATGCAAACAGAATAAGGGGCTAAATTAGTGAGCAAACTTATTCACAAACAATAGCTGCAGTAATTAGATGTACATTGGCTTGTAGTTGCATGTGCAAGGAGTTTAATTAAACATTTGTGCTCATCAGTATGGTGTCTCTCTGGAACAAATATGTAATTATTGTCAGAACATCAAATAAGTCATGTGTTAATCTATTTAACTTTCTAGAGCTAGAGTGCAGTTAATTTTGGTGACCATAGCAGTTCTATTTGACATCAAGTATCAGCATTTTTAAAAATTTACAAAAACAAATATTTTAGTGCACAAATTTGATATGAAATATGAACACTGAGCCTGATTCTTGTCTCACTTTCACTACTGGAAAGTAACTCTACTTAAGTCAATGGAGTTCCACTCCTGTAAAACAGGTGTATGTGAGAGGACAAACTGTATATGCAATACAATTATGAATGTCATGAAACTGTATACAAGCATATCTTAACACATTAGTGTGCAGGGTCATAAGAATGTGCTTTGTGGCAGTGCAAAAAAAAATCTAAACTAATAGATGTTGTGAAAAAAAGTAGTCCAGTGTTGTATCACATTTGTTTTGAGACAATGAATGAACTCCTGGTCCCATTGAAGTCAATGGGGCTGGAATTTCACCCAATAACTTTAACTTACTTTATTATTCTAAAAGTCTCTCTTAAAGCTTTTAAGTGCCCACAAAGTGCAACAAGTGAAATTTCAATTCACACAAGTTGTTTTATGCAGCTATTTGCCTTCATGTAAGAAATACCCTCATGAGATTTTTTTTTTTTTTTTGCTATATTTTCTGTGTACTTAATTATTTTGGGTAGATCCTGCAAATACTTACACTTATTTAACTTTACAGTTCCACTGAAGTCAATAAGCCTGTTCATGTGTGTTACATTCATAACTTATTTAAATTCTTAGCTGAACTGAAATATAATCTCCAAGTGGTTCAGTGTTTCAAAACAAAAGCTACATAAAGCAATAACAGACAAAAAAATATGTCTGATGAGTTGTTAATGTCACTAGAGTGCCAGACAAATACTTACACATTTACACACATCTTATTATGAATAACTGGTACTGAGGACTATGTCTCCACGTGCCTTCAAGACTAATGTTTTAATAGGAACATTATCTCCACAATAGAAGTAACGAACTTTCTTAAATTATATTTAGAATTAAAGTTACTCTTTTATGCTGACAGATTTTAATGAAGTGATTATCACCTTTATTTTTCAAATACTAATGTACTCAAATATCAAAGTTAAGATGTCTCTGTTATTTACTCTCTAGAATAGGAGGTCAATGAGAGGACGGGACCATTTTGAATACCAACTGGTTATTAGCAAAACACAGCACTTTTTGGTGGGTCTTCAGATGTAATTTAAAATCATGAATTCACATTTCGAAGAGTTTTATTTAGTCTTTTAAAAGTTCATTAGGAAATTCATCTCCAATAACATGGGTTCAGAAAATCCACCAGCAAGAGCAAAGGAATGGGTAAAAGAGAGTTAAAAAAAATGTTCTGGTTTTATTTTACTTGAAGAAAGATGATAACATAGTCGGGAACCCTGTGTGTATGTAAACTGTGCGCATTTTCCAGTAAAGAAAAAGAAAGACACACATGGAAGGATATAAACAAAGACACGGTCACCTCAAAAGAAGGCCTCAACATTTATTCAGGGTGTTTCTTAATTTTAATTGCTGTAAAGGTTCATTTTCCATTGCTTTATTCATGGTAATAGTAAAACGCTATTTAAGAAATCAAAGAGACTTTACACATCCTTCCCTACAAATAAACAAAATGCTTTTCCTCGTGGGCTCATCACGCTTCACATCACTATTACACCTTTGCTCTATTTCTAGTTATTTTACTTTCCACCTGGGATTGTGTGAAGCTCAGTCTTACAGCAAATAACATTATTTTTTTTTTGTTTCCCTACACAGAGAAAACCAATGGCTTTTCTGCCTAGGAAAGAAAAATCCAACCAGTGGAACTGCTCAGTCTGATTTCTATTTAAAATCATGAGAGCCTGCTTTCAATATGGCAGTACACATGGGGGGGTGGGGGTGAAAAAAGAAAGTACATGTGAAACAGGAGCCCATCTGTTTTTCAATATTATTAAAAATATAAAGGGGAAGGGATACTACTTGCATTTATACATGAAAGAAAGGAGCCCTTGTGTGACTGTGGCGAATATTCTATCAGGCCATGAACAGCCAGGTACTTTGCAATGCAATGATACTTTGTCACCTAACCTGTTAAATGCACAGTTCACAGTTTTTACAAGAATGCCTGGTTCAGCATAATGCTTTGCAATGCAGCAATACTGACCCCCCCCCCTTTAAATCTCCCCTATACACACACTCCCTCTTTTTTTCTTCTATTACTAAGATATTTGTTTTCTATTACCATTTATGTTTGCAACAGACACACACAGCAAGCATAGGTCTTCAGTACTGTACACGTCAGTATCTATGTGTGAGGAATACACCGGTTATCATGCCAGTGTAAACATTTGCCTAACACGAGTGACTATATGGATAACATACACCCTGATACTACATCCCAATGCTGACTGCCTCAGTTCCAAATACCATCAATAACAAAAATGCAGATCTGTCCTGGCTTCCTCAAGCCAGCGAGGTTTGCATACGGAAGTGGATCTCTGTCCTTGGTCCTGATTCCTTGTACTGGTTTCATTACCCTGGTACTGCAGAAATGTAAATATAGGGTCTTGGAGACACACAAGCCCAAGCACAGCCATGATGTGACTGCTTAGGAAGAAGCAAGGATGAATACAGTGAGAATCTGCCCACAAAACACGGCTATATTATAACTCCATGCACTGTAGCAAACCTTAAACCAAAGAGAAAAGGCTTCCTTAACATGGCATCAAATTCCACACAAAAATCACGCGTGTACCACCCTTCACTTAGCCTCCCCATTCCTCTCAATGCAAGAATTGTAAAGCCAATAAAACATAGCAAGATCCCAGCAGCAAAGGAGATCGATGGAGGCAATGCTACTCTCTAAACCTTCAGCATTCTCACAACAGCTCTGTGCATTTGCAAACGGTATCTTCGTCCCCCCCCCAACCCACAACCCCCAGCAAACAAGCAGAAAAGCACATCTTACCACTGGATGAGGGAGAGAAGCACAAGTGCCCACACCATCATTTTGAGAGAAAATGCAGGATTCGAGCTCCCCAGGCTTGTTGGATTTGGAGGACTCATCTCTCTTTTTCTCCCCCCCTTTCCCTTTTCCTCTTGGTTGCAGATGGATCCGTCCCTTTCCTTCTTTATTTTTATTTTGTTGGTGGTTCCCACCCCACCCCCCCTACCAGGTCCCGTCAGTGGGATGATACATTGCACCCAGCTGCAGGAATTAATATTCAGAGGGGGCAGAAATTAAATCTGCCCAAGCCTTTTGCAGCTACAATAAAAAAAAGTCAGCTTAGGCAGCAGCTTCCAAATCTAGAGAAATAATAAAACTGGGAGAAAAAGGGTGGGAGAGAGGGAGGACACACACAAGAAAAGCAGGCAAGGTAAGGAGAAACACACTCACACACAAGCACATACTCACACAGACACCGGTACACAGACAACACAATCCATCAGCACAGGAGAAAGGGAAAGGAGGGGGGAGGGTAAAAGAGGGGGGGAAAGAATAAAGCAACGGAGCTTCTGCCTGAATGCAGATTAACTCTGAGGTCAAAGTGGAAATGATGCACACTGCTGCAGCACAGATTAACACATGCGTGGTGTCAGCAGAGGTGCTTTTTAACCTTTGATTACACATATGCAGGCAGCCCAGGTTTTCATTTTGGAGGCAAGAAGGATCTGGCAAGTACAGAAAGGAAGGTTGAAAGAAAAAGCTTCCCCTACGATGCAGAGCATCCTCATTGCTTTTAACAGCCTGCAAATCGTTATTGCAAAGGGTAAAAAATAGAAAGGATGGATGGTGGGGGGGGGGAAGAGGGGAGGGATGGTTGTTGCTAAGTAACTCAGGAAATGGGGAAGGCAGTATTGGTGGAGTTGCTATGAATGAGGTGGTTTAGTGTGTGATAGGATTAGGGAGAATTCGCAGGGATCTGATCTCCCCTCCCCCTAATAAAATCAGACTAGACAGATGCAGGAAATGCCCTAAAATAAGACTAAATGGATAGGGTGAGAACAATGAGTGTGTGTAAAAGCTGGACCTTGCCAGATCCTGCCAATTTGTGTTCCCAGCCACCCAAATTCCAATGCCCAAAGAGACAATAAGTCTAGATGCTTTTTGCCACGCACACACACAAATTGAGACCACAATATATCCCAGTGCAAGAATGCCATACAAATCCCAATCTAGCACCTGGATTCTGCCAGATCCTACCAAGTTTTGGCCCCAAATTCCACTGCCTAAATAGAGAACAAGTCTAGATGCCCATATTGGATACACAACAACAACCAAAATCAGGATAATTCCATTTCTTAAATGGAGAACAAGTTGAGATGTAGCAAAAACTTCTGGATCTTAGTACCAGCCAAAATACTTAGATCTAGCATCTGGATCCTGCTGGAAAATGTCAGTTTCTAGCCCCATCCCCCCAAATCCCACTGCTAAAAAGAGAATAAATCTAGATAATCCAAGTGTATCTAAAATTATAGATATTGACACATTTTGTTGCAACAAAGCCTCAAAAACCCAGGTCCAACCTCTCGAAGCCAATTTTGCTTCTAACTCCCCCAAATATGACTACATAAATAGATAACAAGTTTAGCCACTCTGAGTGCATACAAATATCCTGACCCTGATGTAGCCTCATGCTATGGTGCCTCAAAAACTTATATCTAACACCTAGATCCTATGTTTATAGTTGATTTACAAATTATGGTCATGATTCCTAAAGCCACTGTAACTTGATGGACTTCAGTGGAAATACTCCTGATTTATACTAAAATAAGTGAGATCATGTTTGGCCCTACACGTATAAGAATCATTTCACCCACCAGTGGCATGCAGACAGTTCTGAGATGAAATGCTATCAAATCTGTCAGTATCTCAATACGTATATATTATACACATTTATATTTGGAGCCCAATTCATATTGCCCTTGTTCCTGTCTGGTAGAATAAAGGATTGTAAACTGGCCAGATCTGGCCCATGGGGAATACCCCTAGCATTAAAGCGTTCCCAGACTGCTGTTGAACTGCTGTAATGGACCTCTGGTATGCTAGAGCCATGGCCAGAGCATAGCTGCATTCCATCTATTCAGTTGTCAGAACAGCATTTTGGGAGTTCTTGTCTTTGAGAGTAGTTTACAGCAGCCCTTAGGCTGAGAGCCAAACTGGCCTCTGGTTGGCCTAGGAACCCAGGGGATATAAAGGTGGTGTTCAGCCATCATTGTCCTACCCATCAGGTGCTAGGCTGAATAGAGCTCAGCCACACCTATGAATGTGGCCCATCACATTTATAAGGAACCTATCACCTTTTTCTCACAGTGTCAATTAACAGACTGTTCAATGGGAAACAGTGAGGCCAGCAGAGAATTCCCCTATTGGAGGACAGAACCCCAGCTGGTGTAAATGACCTGCTGCACCTCTGCCTCACCTTTCCAGAAGAGAGGTCATGTTGGGCAATTTAGAAGGGATGCCACACTAATCCTCCACTGGCTTACAGTCTATTAAGGAGTCTGTGTAAGTGGCACAATTTAGAGCAGCCGGCAGCAGCTCTGTCTTGTCAGAGACAGGACTGGCCCTTATAATAAGGGAAGTATAACTGTGTCCCTGACCCTTCCCCTACCTTCTATCCTTCCCAAGCAAACCTCTAGTGCATGAATGAAACTTACCCTTCAATGGCTATTACCCCAATGGCTATTACATTAGTTTTACATTTCACCCATATTATGGCACAATATTCCAATACCTTTGATGGCTCTAACAGCATAGCATGCATTAAAATACATCAAGTCTATACATTAAAAGAAATTTGTAATTTTGGGGTGGCTATATACTTTGAGTGATTTTAGTGACAAATTTTTAGCCCAAGTCCATCCGGTTTTGTGCCTGTGCGTTCATGAAACCACAACTAATTAGCAGCAAATTCCCCCTCTTCCCCATTCCTGGAGTCCCCAGCTGAGGTCACTCAGACATGAAAGTACTTGATCACAACCATTAATCAATATTTGGATATCAAAGCAGTAGGAAATGTGGGTGCGTATGGTTATGAATGAAAAACTGTTCCTGCAATTAAGGAGACGCTAGCTATTGAGTACCTGGCCTTTCATGTGTTTTTAGTGCTCTAGTTTCTGGTTATATAGACAACTTTTTCTGTGAACAGGTTGTTTATTTGTTCTAGGTAACAAGTAATGTAACATCTGCTGCTAGCTAAATCTAGTAGGCTATTTGCCATTTATATACATATTGCCAAAGGAAATGTGGCCTTCTAGTTTTGCTGGCAGATGTGCTGGAATTAGACTGTGAAGTTTTAATAAGATCTTATTAAATTAACATGAAGGACCAAATTCACAGCCAGGCTGCGATGTAGTCTAATTTTGTGTGTGATTTTTTTTTTTTTGCAGTATGTGTGAGAAATTAACGCGTACCCCCTCCCCCCCATGAACATGCCATTGAACTTTTCAATTGAACATATGACGACTGCACAATTTTTATGACTGCATTTATGTATAACCATACCTTTCTGAAAATGAAGATGTAATAATTATACAGGTAAAAAAAAATGCTATGCTATATGCTAAAAAAAATTGTTCATTCAGACTTAGACCAGAAGTAGAATTTTGGAAAGTGCCTTAGTGACCTATGAACCTAAGTTCCATTTTCAAAAGTGCTGATGCAGGTTAGGTGCCTAACTCCCAATCGGTCAGAATCCTTCCAGATTCTATAAACCTATACAAATATCTGGTAATTGCATGATATTTTCCAAGAAAGTTTAATTATTATTATTTTATTACTTTCCTCTGAGAATCTCAAAGCAAATGAAACAGTTGGGCAAAATATACACCTCTACCCCGATATAACGCTGTTCTCGGGAGCCAAAAAAATCTTACCGCGTTATAGGTGAAACCGCCTTATATCGAACTTGCTTTGATCCACCAGAGTGTGCAGCCCTGCCCCCCCCCCAGAGCACTGCTTTACCGCGTTATATCCGAATTCGTGTTATATCGGGTCATGTTATATCGGGGTAGAGGTATAATTACCCCTATTTTATATAGGGGAAAATGGCATAGAGGGGTTAAATGACTTTCCAAACGACACAGAGCATTTCTCAGTGTCTAAATTGGGAATAGAATCCATGTCTTTTGTTTCTCCGTAAATAACTGTAAAATTCATTGCTCATGAGTGGGATAAGCTAATATCAAAATACAGAAACAACATAATTGAAATTAAACTTCTAACATCTTAAAATCATATGATATTTTATAAAAACAAATTCAAAGCAAAGCAGAGAGGGTTTTTTAATATGAAAACACACAATATAGATAGATGGTTGTTTGTGTGTATATATTATATGTGTGTGTATGTGCTGTGATCAGTTTGCCCATGAAGAAACTTCAGAATTGGACTTGTCAGAATAAGAGACTGGAAAGTGGAGCCCACAATTAGATCTATGGGTCTAGTCTCTTTTCAGTCCATATTCAAAACACTGATGAGCTTTCAGAGGAGCTATAGTACACATGTGAACTGATTAGAAAATATACCCAGTACAGCGAGATTAAAATCTCAGTTCTGAGATGATTATCCACTTCTTAGTGGACAGGATTTCTAGGTCTTGCAAAAAGCTCTTTAGATCAATTCTTCCTGAACACCACTGCAACTGTTAGGATTTATACATTTACATTCATACCGATTGCTGGGTCATGTATTGCAAATTACTGCATTTTGTATATAAATTAAGTGAACACTGAAACAAAAAACACAGAATATTGCACCATTTATTTACTTTGATTTTGATGTAAAATTTTAAAAAATGTTAATTGTTGACTAAATTCCTCTACCATCCTTGGAGTGCTCAAGTATTTAACTTTACAATCTCCTAACAAAAACATACTCTTATCAAAAATTGCTGATTTTACCATTAACATCTAGCATCTATCTCCCCATCCCAAAAGTCTCTGGATAAAGACTCTTGAGAGACCCTCCTAATACCTGGGAGAAAAGATGGGCTTTGCAACATGTCTGGAAGGTCGGGTTCTATGGGACTAAATGAAGAAGCACATTCTAAAGTGATGGGGTCATCACACAAATGCCC